GACGCAGGTTCGAAACTTGTGTGTGGCGGCAATTTCCGCTGCTACACTGGAGTAGAGTATCTTCAGCTGACGATGGCAAATAAGCCAGAAGAGGCCTCCCTGAAGTCTCTTGTCTTATAGTAAATGTCCTAAAAATAATATAAATTCTGTATGTTTTCCTTGTGAAGCCGATTTTATGTGACACTAATAATAAATAAGTACGGTTATTTTCCGACCACCTTAGCGTGTTGCGGTACGCGCGACAGAATCATATCTAACCAAAAGCCATAACGACTTGTGTTGGAGCTCATTGTTTTCCGCCTCTTCCGAACCCTTTTTATTTCCCGTTTCTACTTTTCCCTGTAGGTCAAGAAGGGTTTGGAAAGCCTGAGGAGGCGAGTGGAGAAAAATCTATCAGAGGAGAGCAATCTGTTTTTGGTGCGTTGTCACTTGACTGCATAATTATTTAATTGCTACTTAAACATGTTAAGTAGGCAGAATAAGGTAAATGTTTACTGGAATAGCGTAATAAGGATTGCTGGCTTGGCTTCGGGCTAGGATTGCGGTTAGGGTTAGGTGATTGTAAAACTAATCATGGCACCAAACCATCAGATGGATCCGATTAGTATAACTTTGCCAGAAACCTTGATGTTCGTTCCTTCGTTTAACAACGCCTCGATCGAATTCTCTCAGGAGAACTCAGCAAGAGCGGAAGAATAGGAGTGTATTGACCTACTTATTACAATGTATTTAAGGCGAAAAAGGAACGCATGCGTATGTACAAGGACGGACTTCAGTTAGGTCCATCCCATAGTGTCCTTGGGGGGCCAGTGTGTCGATTGGTTTTTCAACTCATCCGAATGGTTTAGTAGAGCATTAATCCTGTCATCAAACTGCGCGATATCATAAGGAGCACGGCCTATAGTGAATATATAATGAAACATGCGAGCAATTCGGTTAGGGATACTCCTAAAATTGATAATACCTTGCCTTTTGCCCTGCGTTATAGCGTAAACAGTCAAAAGTGCGTGATTATCGTTCGCTACCTTCGAAAATACCTAGAAAATAGAGTAGATAACCTTACGCATGCAAAATGCTAAAATTTGCGAAAGATTGATAATCCCTCGTAAACTGACATTAACGCATGTACGAAAAGCTGGAAATAATAATAAACAACCTCAAGGGAATTTACAACGTGAAGGAAATATAAAGGTAAGGTAACTTTGTTTAGAAGTACCAACTTAAAAGAGCCTAAATACCAAAAATGGAAAAAATAACAGGAACTGTAACCAATAAATAAAATTGTCAAGTAAAACCGTAAGCATACCATTTCGTGTCTATTTAAAAGAACTGCTATTCGATTACAATGAGTTGCTGAACGTCCTTGAAATACCGGTGACTGCTTCACAACTTTCCCTGTTTGCAAACTCTTCTCCAAAAAGTTAGATTTCGTTCTAGGCGTTTATCAAAACCTTCAAAACCCCCTTAAGATCCTTTACCGAAAAGAGACCCTTTGCATATTAGTTCTCATTGAGATGGCTGTTTACGCCGCAGTTGCATACAGACCCCAACATCAGAACACATTTCCGAGAAAAATAAACGTCCACAGCAAAGCCCAATACTAATATGTCCAAGATCAGTTAAAACCATTTCTTAAGAACTCCACCCCTTTAATAAGCAAAGGAATATTTGCGTAAGGTTCCAAGGCACCGAGTTTACGGGAGAGGACAAAGTTCGTCACCGACATTAGCCTACAGCCTCAAAAAGATTAATTTGGCGTCTTCGTGCAGTTCCGCTAGAATGAACAAAAAATCCCCCAAATCCTCATTATTACTGAGAATGACTGTCTCGTCACCTGTGGGGTCCAGTTAAACGAATTTGCCGTTCTGGACGAGCGCGCAATTTTTATTTACTACGAAGTTTTACTTATTTCATTTGAGTAGCCTCGGTATTTTAAATTTAGGTTGTCTGGAGATCGATCCAGGGTGAAATCACTCGGCAGTGTACGTACTATGAAGACTTGATTAAGCGCTGCTACGCAGATTCCGGGCTGGCTCTCGACTTTACGATCTCCGATTTGCAAAACTACTTCAGCGAGATTGCAGGCGCCCCCAAACGCCACGCTCTGGGTGACGTTCTCCGTTCCTAGGCCGGAGCTGTGTTGCATTATCATCGTCGTTTCTTCCTTCCTTTGTTTTTTACCCACTTTTTAAAAGCTCAATTTTTATTTTTTTTCTCGCGCGCGTATGTGATCAATAAAAGAGACATATTCTTTTTGCATACTTATTTTTTTCGTGAGACTGAACTTTGCATTTGATAATCAAATTGCATGTCGCACAGGCGGTTAGAAATTGCTGTAAGAAGGCAACGGCAGCAGTAGCAGCAGCAGAAACTTTGACGAAACGCGTGTCAAGACTTCTTGTTATTACAGTAGATTGGCTATTTACTGAGATGTGTAGGGGTCTAAGTAGTGGGTGTACTCGGATCACCACAATCATCAGGCCAAATCCCAGGTTGGAGGTTAAAAGGCAGAAGGCAACTGTAAGAGTGGTTTATTGTGTACAGAACTCCCTGTTGCTGTCGCAGGTGGCAGTGGCCACTAGCTAA